ATGAGATTGAATGTAATACGATGAATGTATTAGAAATATATGATATTTATAGGGATATGATTAATATCCTGTCAGATTCAACTGCTATCCGATATTTTTTATTCTGATATGATTAATATCCCGTCGGATCCTAACCGATTTACTTGATTATGCTTATGATGAGTTGGCAAAAATATGTGGACAGTTTCGATGCAATATGTAGTAGTTAAAAAATTTGTGAACAAATAAAATCCTACAAAGTCGGATCATATATATGTTGGTAAAAAAAATAATTGCCAAACAAATGTGAAAACCGAAAAGCCGCCAAATCGTCAATTTTGTAGCTGCCCAAAAAATCTATAGTTATCGTGGAAAATTGGTAACAACAATTCATATATAAACTTAATCAAAATCCTAGCAATACATTTAACAAAATCCTATAACTTTGGTAAGGCAATTTCGATCATTATCTTCAAGATTTTGTTGTAACTATTAAAATTGTGAATATATAAAATCCCACAGAATCTGCTGAATTGGTTAAAAAATCCAAACTAATTTTGCTATGAGAGATTTATTACTTAAATTAATGATCTTCAAGATTTTGTAGTAATTATTAAAATTGTGAATATATAAAATCCAACAGAATCCGCTGAATTGGTTAGGAAAATCCGAACTAATTTTGCTATGAGAGTTTTGTTACTTAAATTCAATTTTAACGCGTGGGGCCCATTGGTGTTACTTAAATTAGTAAGTCAAAATATTATTTTTCAAGTCAAACATACTATTTTTGTATTTTTCCAACAACCTCTTTATATTACTATAGATTATTATTATTATTATTATTATTATTTAAACATTTGCGTGGAACATAGGGGCAAAAATTACCAAATTTCTTATATTGGCAAGTTATTTTACTATAATATTGTTTATTTAAACATGACAGTCCTAGCAAGGAAATTAACAGTTAATGTATTTCCTAGTACTAGTACAATACCGTGTGGTAACACAAAACTCTCAGACCGGCTGAAATCCGAGTAATCGTCTTCCTCCTCACCGGTTGAACGTTGTGCACCTACAAAAAACTATCACACCGTAGCGGTTTTCTGGTGAAGAGCCTCCAAAACTTAAGTCAGTGTTTATTCAATCAATTATCGATAGTGAAAATAGAATGATCGTGTTGAACAAGAAAAATTCACCCCATATATATAGGGATGAGATACCTGCCCTAGGAGCTGCCCGGATCTGCTGAGCTGGCTGCCCGGGTCTGCTCGTCCTTACACACACAGTGTGCGTGTGTCAGAGGTAACCGTCGCCACTATCCTCTGCACCAATATCTTCGCGCCACGTGTCTTCCGTACATGGAGTGAATATTCTCTCACGATTTGCTGACGTCTTACTGACACGTCTGAAATTCCGCTAGAGCTTATCACATTTTGACCTTATCTGAGTCAACTCCCTAAGTTGTCTTTTATTCCTGACAAGATCGTCCACCGGGTTGTCCTCGAGTTTCCTTCGACCATGGTTGTAACCTTTCAAATGTCCTTCTGCTCGAGCTTCTCGCGTATCAGTTAGATCTTCCCCATTGCTCGTGCTTAGGCCTTCATCACCCTCCCCTTAATGGTATTTGGTACTACCTTCTTGGCTCGATATCGCGACCCAACATGGTTCTCTTCCACCTCCTGATCCACTCGACCGGTCCAAGGAGCCGGTCTATCCTTCTAGGTATAATATCCAATATCATCGTGTACTATACGACTACGTAAATATATTAATATTTCTACAATAAAAATTAAAAGTATGTACGATGAATATGCAATAATAATAAATAACTAAGAAAATGATAATTAATTCAAATGGTTCTCGTGTTTTTACACTTAATTTGCCAAAAATATTTTGTTAATTATATTTTTAAAATTATATATGCATAAGACTGATTTTATTTATAACTTCTTATATTTGATTCGTTTTTTTTTTTTTTTGACAAAACAAGTATTATTGTATTGTGATTATAATATATATATATATATAGAGTCGGTGTCTCACGTTTATCAATTTTTCAAGTATTTTAAATTCATATAATAAATAATTTATAATTTACATAAAAATATATTATTTCTAACTTTATGAAATACAAAATTATTTTTTACATTTAATTATGATATACTTTTATATTTACTATTTTAAACAACATAATAACTTTCAAATTTTTATATAATCTATTTAAATTGAGAAATAATATTTTATAATATCTTATAAAATTTAATATATGCAATACCTAATTTTTATTTTGTCTAAAATTTTTGAAAAAAAATATAAAATAATTATTTTATGGTGTAATAATTAATTATATTTTTATTATTTTTATAAAATAATTTATATTGTTACATGATATTTTTTATTATTTTTATAAAATAATTTATATTGTTACATGATGTTTCTAAATTGAGTTGATAATAAAATTGATTTTTTTTTTTTTATAAATATAGATGACATTATTTTTATTTTATATATGGATTATGGATGTCAATTTGAAAATCGTTAAAATATGATTATCTCGGTAGATCATATATAAAAAGTAAAATACAAATAAAAAAGTTATAAAGTTTTAAAAATAAAAAGAATACATATTTGTAACAATTAATATAAGAATTATAGATATAAAAGGTAAGAGTAGTACATGATAACTTAAGAAAAAACAAAGCTAAAATAGTTTATGGTAATTTTCAAACCTAATAGTAAAAAACAAACATAAACATGTGTCAACATAAAGCACTAATTTATGACAAATAAGCTTACGAAGCACACGATTCTGCCAATTAAGCTCAGTTCAACAAAAGCAACCGAGCTACGTTCGTTCCTTATACATTCTGACATCTCCATTTCAATCTAAGGTGAATTTTTCCGTCTTGCGCCCGGTTTCGCAACTCCACCACCAACTTCTTCCACGGCATGATCTGCCATTGTTTCCCGTCGAGAGTTTCCACAAACACTTGCTCCAAATTGTGCTACTAAAAGCAGGGTACTGTCACCATGTTCTTGTTTACAAGCAGGGTGTTGAGCTGAAACCACGAGAGGATATGCGCCTCCCGTCCAACATGCTCACAGGTAAGCAACCCCTTATTTTCCTAGGTCGACAAACATAAAACAAGTCATTTGTAAAACCCTAGTACCAACACTTCTCTATCCCTTCAAAAGTATCCAATACCAACTTCTCCAGTACTGAATGGTAGCCTTTCGTACGTGCTGCCCTTCATCCTCAGAGACAGAGAGAAATCTGAGACCCACTCACTGCCTCAAGCATTCGTTTTAGCTTCAAAAACCATGACGCGATGCTGCCTCGCTTAGTCTCACGTTTTCCAGCTCCTCACACTTTAAAAGGAAAACATGGCTGACCAAAGGGCAGCCCGACATAAACTTCTTGAAAGTGTGGTTGCTAATGAAGCCTCCCTCAGTGGAGAGCGAGCTTACGCAGATGGTTAAGCCGCACGCAGTGGACTTCGTTCTGTCGTTCAGCCAGAATCTATGAAGGTATAATTCTTCGAAGGACTCGGCAGTTAATGATGGACAGAAATTTGAGTTGGCATTTTATTATAAGGCGCCCATGTTCTTGACGAATATTGGGACCCATTTTTTAGAAAAAGGAGAAGGTTGGTATACACCTATTTTTTTTCTCTTATCTGCAGATATGGTGAAATTCTCCAAAATAATTTTTTACCATCTCTTTCAACATAACACATATATGAACATATAAAAGCTCAACACTCTTCCTCATTAAAAATCAAATTTGTGTAATTGATCAAATTGCCTACTATTTCACTCAGATTAATTTGCTATGCAAGGTTATGACTGACTATTATTTGGTAAAAACCATGACAAATGTGAATCTCATTAGTTGCAAATTGATATAGCACATAAGAATAACTCGGTGAACCGGCTAACGGTAGCTCGCCAATTGAACCGTAGTACTTATGCCGTTGTCTGACCTCTCCATTTCAAGTAAAGCCACATTTCCCCGTCATAAGTCCTGTTTCGCAATTCCGACACATCTGTCCACTGCACGACCTGCCCATCAACCTGAACTAATTGCTCCAAATCATGGCACCAAAAGTAGGGCTCGGTCTTGATGTTCTTGTTTGCAAGCAACATGTTTAACTGAAACTCCGAGAGCCTGTATTTCCCGTCCGACCCACTCACAAGGCTATCACCACATACGCAACTCGGTCGACAAACACGAAACAAGCCATTCGTAAACTCCAAGTACCAAGATGTCGTGCGACATTTACTAGTAGTAAAACTCATGTACCGCACCACCACAGGCGGCTCATCACCGAGAACAGCACTCCAGGGCACGTCTTGAGGGCCGCCGTCCATCCTCAGAGAAAGAGAAATCTGAGACCCACTTAGTGGCTTGATCAATCGTCTCAGCCCAAGGAACCACCAATTGACGTCGAAATCGGGATCATCGTCACGTGAAGAAGAGAGGAATACATTTGAATCCCACTCCTTGGAAGTTGTGGTCGTGAAAGAGAATGTGTCCGGCACCTGGGGAATACAGGCAGTGAGCGTAAACCTGAAAATGTTTGGGGCACAAATAGTAACTCCTTTAAGCAATATTTTGACTGTCCTGATGGTCAAGTACTTGACCGAATCACTTGAAAGATGGAATTCCTCGAAACCGGGGCAATCACATAGGGTCAAGCTTGCAAGAGTTGGGCAGCCGAAAGATAACAGGTCAAATGACTCTCTCGACAGGATCACATCATAGAGACTCAAACTCGTGAGACGAGAGAACAATAATGCGCTTTGGCGGTGAGACCAAATCCATGAGCCCCTTATGGACACTGTCTCTAGATTCGGGGCATTGATTTCGATGCTACGCCCTTCCATCTTGATGTAATCACGCAATTCAAAGTGCTTGAGCCCAGGCGATCTCAGCCTAACGTTTCTCAACTCACAACAAGAAATAAGGACGAGCCGCCTGAGCAAAGGGCAGCCCAACATTTTCGTATCGAAAGTGCCGCCATCAACTTGGACCAGTTCGAGGGTAAGCGTGCGCAAACTTTTAAACCACACGCTCTTGACCGGGATTACCCTGCATTTTCTCAGGTGTAGTTCTTCGAGGGACTCAGCTAAGAACACATCCAAGGGCCGGCCGTAATATGGCAGAGTAACTGAACAAAAGTTCTTCGAGGGACCCTGCATTTTGATCAGTGTATCCTTGCAGGGTTCGGTCAACGACGGAGACAAAGTTTTTTTGTGTATTGTTGAACCATTCTTCGGAGAATTCGAGGTTGGGGCGGGTTGATCCTATGTGGCGCCATTGTTTGGAGTGTACACAAGTTCTCAAAGCTTCTTTCTGGGAGAGGAAACAGAGTATGCGGTGAAGTATAGGTACAGGCAGTTGGGATATTCTGTCCTCCATTGCTACGGAGATATTCTAAGTTACACAGTTATATAATAAAAAACTTCTGCTCCAATGAGTCTTCTAACATAACCATGAATCTGTCAGAAACACTTGAAAACACTTCCGATGATTAATTTGAATGCACATAATATCTGATAGTTTGTTACAAAAATATGCATAAAATTTGCGGCTACCCAGGTTTTGTTACACAAATGTTTACTCTTGTCAAATTTTTTTAATTGCAATTTATTTATTGTTAACATTTTTGTAGCCCCATATCAACCAATATTAGTGCATATCCCGTGCGATGCATGCATATAATAAATCAATTATTTCTATAGGACTTGTACGTCTAGACAAAAAAAAAAGGCTTGGATCATCCATATTTCACATCTTTTAATAGATGGCGTTTATTTAAGCAAAAAAATTAACATGTTAATTAATATATAATTCACTAGCACGTCATACTAATATTTATTTGATTTTAGAATACATACTAGTACAACACCCGTGTATTACACGGGTGCTTGCTAATTTTTTTTTTCTTAAAATTTAAAATTAATGAAAAAAAGTAGTTTGAAAATTTAAATACTTTTTATAAGAATATATATATTATTATATATTTATTATGACACTTTTTATTTGTGCAACTTACTTGTGTTATATTATACAAATTTTTTTTTTAACTTACAATATATAACTACATTACATATAAATATATCAATTGAGAAATAATTTTATTTTTCTAATGAATTTTAATAAATATTATTATTTTTTATTATAAAGATAAATATAATTTATTTATTTTATATATACAATATGGATGTCAAATCGAAGATCATCAAAAGATGATTAATTTGATATATTATATATGTAAAACCGATAAGAAATACAAAAGTTATCAACTTTTAAAATACATTTATAATTCAATAGCTTATTGAAGGAAACAAATCAAAATTCAGAAATATATTAGTCACTTAGTGTCTCACTATGTAAAATTAAAAAGAATTAAAAAGGTTATATTAGTAAAAGTGATATTAAAATACCTAAGTTAGCTAAATAATATTTATGGAATACCCGAACCTAGATTATTAATTATTAATATATCAATATTATTTATCCAAACCTAATTACGAAGCATGATTCTTCGTCAAATAGGATTTCGAAGCACCAGAAGCAGCCACGTAGGCTCAGCGCATTCGGAAATTATATAGAGGGAGGATTTATTCATTGATATAAGAAAAAATAAAAATTTTATTAATTATTGTTCACCATATAATATTCAATTTTTATTTTATTATAAAATTTACAGTCATATAATGTAATTATTATTATTTATAAAAGTTATACAAGTAGTCTTCTTTATGTAATGAAATTCAAAATAAAATTTTGAGTATAAATGTTTACAAAATACACACATGTTTTTTAAAATTCAATTTTCTCATAATAATTCTTTTTTTTTTAAAAAAAAAAAATGATTTCGCAATTGCCAAAAAATAAATCCTTTACATAATGAAAAGATTTTTTTTTCTAATTTTCATCCTAAGAATTTATAGTTTATTTAACATACTATGCAATAGAAAAATATTTTACAATAAGTTCATTTTTGAAACATAACAAAAAAAAAGTGATAAAAACACTATAATAGTTGACAATAATATACAAATAAATAACATGTCGAAATTTTAAAGAATAACTAATATAATTTTATTATCTAACCATCAATAAAATCATTTAATGATGTGATCATTATCTTTTAAATAATAAATAATATTAATTTTTTAAAAAAAATATTAGTGTTATATAATTAAATAAAGGTTAAAAAATATTACTCGACAAATATTAATTATAATGGATATTAATAAAATTATTGCATAAATTATTTATGGAAAAAATATTTAAGATCATATTTGGATAGTAAATGTATATAATTATAATGCAAGCATTTAATGCATATAGTAAATAATTTCCAAATAAAGCATGCATTAAATGTGTAATAACCCAACTTTTTGTTAATATAAGTGATGTATTATCTTTTATTAATTCCATTCATTTTCAGCAAATAAGTTCGACGTTAAGTCGAAAAGTTTATTCGGTTAATTATTAACCAAGTCAAATTCGATAATTAATTTCCGAACCGTTTATTTTATAAACGGACATTACTAATCTTGATTAATTATTAATAATTCAGAATGTTCGGAATTAATTTCTAAGTTGAAACTAAGCTAAGTCGAGAAAGAACGCAAGATACACGAAGCATACGCATGTACACGCATTCATGCACGCATGCCGTGCACTCAGCCACGCACATGAACGCGCATCGTGCGCAGCACCGCCAGCGCATTAGCGCGCGTTAAGTACTCGCTAAGCACGCACTTAGGCGATGCTTAGTGACTTGATCGGACCAAACCCCCATCCTAATGTTACCATGAGGAAAAATGTAAAGATAAACGTTGGGTGTGCAAGTGGGGTGGTGATTCACCTCCTTGCTTGCACACACGGCGCACCACGCACGCACGGGCGATGACTAAGCCCGTGCATGGCCGCCACCTAGGCCGATGACTAAGCAAACATGCCACACTTCAGCCCACGATCGAGACACTTGGCATTGGGGGAAATGCATCATCAATCACCTCTTGGACCCCAAGTTTCACCCTCGGTTTCACCTCCTTTAAAATGACCGTGCGTGTGAAACTTTTCATGCACAATTCCATGCACCAAATCGTCCAACTTCAGTATATTCAAGAGATAAAATAGTGAAGAAATAATAGTAGAAAAATTACACAAAAATAGCTAAGGAAGGTGG